GCCCAGGAGTTTGAGGTTGCTGTGAGCTAGGATGACGCCACGGCACTCTAGCCCGGGCAACACAGTGAGACTCTGTCTCAAAAAAAAAAAAGAACTTAATCTACTATAAAGTACTTGTACATATACTAAAGTACTCTGCAAACAAAGCAAAATATAATTATAAATTAACTTGTGACTTGCTTCTACTAGGTGTGAAGTAGAATTAAATTTGATCAGACTTAAAGATAATTTCTGCACACAAAATAAACCCTTCTGCCAACAAAGCGATTCTTTCAAAAACTTATCAAAGTATCCCATTACTAAAACAAAACAAAACTGCAACTTCCTGTTGCTAAAGCACAGCCCCTAGTGTAACCAGAGTAAAGGGAAGAATACATAGTTTATACTACCTCAGAAAGAACCCAAACTGAGGGTGCAAACCACTGCCCTCCTCACCCACTCCTGGCTGTTTCAGGCCCTCTCCCCTGAGTCCTTCAATTTCCTTGCTCCCAACACAGCTTACTTTTTGCCTTGCTAAATGTATAATGAAATGCCTAGGATTCTAATGAAGCCTTGCTTATAAGACTAAAAGCTGATCTATGACAAAGATTTTTAATGAGTCTTAATGGTCACTTAAGAGTCTCCTAAACAAAACAATTTTACAGAGTCTTGAAGACTATATTCAAGTCCAAGCTTCTTTTCTAAAAGAAGAGGTGACAAGATAGCAAGATCTCATGTCATAAAAAACATGCAACTCTTTTGTCAGAAACCTGGAACTTGTCAAGCAATTTTTAACATCTTAGTAGATAAAAAAACACATACTTGCATGGCAGAATTCTGATAATATCCTTTACTTTAAAACTTTCAATACACACTGCACAATTTTCAGCATCAACATCAATTCCCTGTAAAAAGAAAAGGAAAGAATTTATTGTCGGTATTAATATATAGGATATGCTTGGTAAACTCACTATATCTTGCCTAAACAATGATAAATTCTATTCTACTTTGGCACAACCTGAAACTGAAACACAAATAATTGTACTTGGTATTTACTTCTTACCACTATGAAGAAATAATCTAAAGAATTTGGCTGAAAAGGCAAAAGATTTCATTGTCTGCCTAATCAGACATGAACAGTGTTTGTAATTTATGAAGCTAGTGTTCATGGTTTTTTTTAAAATAAAGTATTCATGTTTTAAGGACTACAGAAATACAACTGTCTGCTATAATAAATTATTTTTCAAACATAAAATTCACAATATAAAAAGAATGAATATACAATAAGCTACTTATTTTCTAGAATCATTAAAAAAACCAATTTACATCTGCTAAAGAACAGAGTTAAACTTGCAAATACGAAAATGCAAATCGTTAAATATCTGAAAATATTTGCCTCACTAGTGATAAAAGAATTACAAAAGAGTAAGTTACTATTTTTCATCTAACAAATTAACAAAGATACAAAGAAACAAAAATTTGGGGGGAGGAAGCAGTCTTGTGACAAAATTTCCACTTCTAAGAATCTACGTATGGGTCCATGGACTTTTTTAGTGGTATCAGCCTTCCCTATTTCCCAAGGTAACACATGATTCACACCCCACCCTCAACCAAAGCAGCCAGGGACAGAGTGGTTATCTGACTCAAGACCAGCCAACAAGATTCTCTTTCCTGGGATTCTGGGACAGGGATTCAGGAACTATCAATGAATGGCTACCTGTGGCTGTGATTTGAGCAAATTCATTTTATGAAACACGGCTACACCGTCCTTATGTAATTACTATATTTAAAAATACATTTAGCCATGTGCACCACTTGTTAAACAAGGAAGCAGTAAAAATGTGATTTTGTATGTAGATATTATTATCAAAATCTGTATTAAAATTAACTTCAACATTTTAAATTATACGCTGCAATGAAGGTAAATACTACACTATTTATCATATAATATGCAAGAATGATGAAATAAGTTTTAAAGTCTCTAACAATGGTTTGCAAGTTTATACATTACTGTGAATGAGTCCGGAAGAAAAGAATTAGAAAACAAACACTAGTCTCCAGAAGTGGATAAGATGCAGATTGAAGAAAACAACATTTTTCTGTACAAATTTAAGGTGTAAAACTGCCAGAAAAATCTACATAAAGATGTTCCTCCACTTACCATGGGGTTGTGTCCTGATAAGCCTACTGCAAGTTGAAAATATTGTAGGTTGAGGACCCTTATCTTTCACCATATACAAAAATCAACTAAAGATGGATTGAAGGTTTGAATATAAGACCTGAAACTATAAAAATGCTTGAAGAAAATCCAGCTCCTGAATATTGGTCTAGGTAAAGAATTCATGACTAAGACCTCAAAAGCACAGGCAACAAAAACAAAAATAGACAAATGAGACTTAACTACAAAAGCATCTGCACAGCAAAAGAAATAATCAACAGAGTGAACAGACAACCGGGGAATGGGAGAAAATATTTGCAGACTATACATCTGACAGGGGACTAATACCTAGAATTTACAAGGAACTCAACAAAAAAATAATAATC